TTTCTATCCCCTCATTTTCGCCCTGTCACTTTATAGATCCACCATTACCAATTTTCTCCCCATGTTTCTCATTCCTGTTTATCACCGTCCCTCCCATCTCCATAATCCTCCACTCCCTCTACCACTCCACGTCTCGCCTTCACCCTCCGTGTCTGTTCACAGGTTGGCGCTTAATCAGATTCCCCCTTATGTCTATCGTGTCTGTCTATCGTCTTCTGGAGATGTCCCGATAGACATTCATTTAGAGTTAAGTGTGTCGTAGTGATCTTGATTTTGTAAGTTGGAAAAGGAAATGAATACGTGAATAAATGGAATTTCTTTTGCGCACCAGATCGCGGTAGCACCACAAGCTCCACGCGCATGCGTATTAAGGGCGACCGTGACAAGATGACGATGAGGAGTGAGGCGCTGAGATATTGGCGCTCCATACATAACAAGTGAGTGTTCCCTCCTCTCTCTGTCTCCCTTTTTGTCTGTCTGTATGTCTGTCAGTCGGTCGGTTTCTCTCTTTGTCTGTCTTTGTCTGTCTGTATGTCTGACAGTACGGTCGGTCTCTCTCTGTCACGCTCTTCGTCTCTCACTCTCTTACGTTTTCGGTCTCTCTTCCTCTCTCTCTCTCTTCTCTCTCTCTCTCTCTCCTCTCCCTCTCTCTTTCCTTCTCTCGCTCCCCTCCTCCCTCCCGCCCCTCTCTCTTTCTTTCTTTCTCTCGCTCCCTCCTCCTCCCTTCCTTCTCCTTTCTCTGTTTCTTTTCTCCCTCCCTCTCTCTTTCTTTCTAACTCTCTCCCCTCTCTCTTTCTTTAACTTTCAGTCTATCTGTAAATTAGCTATATTTTACATTGTCCCAGATTATTAGTTTGTCCTTGGTTTCGTGTTCGGAGCGTCCTTCCCTTCCTTTCGTTAATTTCAGTGTTTACGTGTCATCGCGTATGGCACTTTCTTCTCTCCAGAATTTTATATCTACATGACGTCTCTCTTGTTTACCCCTGTTACAATTTACGTGTACCATCTGCCTGTTTGTTTTTTATTTTTTCTTCTTGTTTGTATCGGCTATCTTTAAATGCCATCTCCATGCATGACATTTCCTCTCCTTCAGAGATATACATTTAGATTTAACGTAAATAACCGCGATTTGATTTGAGGATCGCTGGCAGGCTGTGCATTTGCTGACCTCTGATTGGCGGATTTCCGGTCTGGCCGCAGGTACTCGCTCCTCAATGGGTTCACTCGACAACGACGCAACGCAATGGTGAAGAAGCAGCGCCAGAGGATTAAGGACAGGAACAATATGTCCATCGTGTTCGTCCTTGTGTTCTTGCTGGTGTTCTTGGTGATCCTCATCGCCGAGGTGTTCTTCATCGACGAGCACCGGTCGGGGATGCTCTTCATGGGCAAGCGCCCGCAGGACTTCGACTCCATGGGCGACATCCCCGACTACTTCATGGACGACAAGAAACTCGTGGGGCAGCTGGAGATCGACACGTACAGGCGGCAGGAGCTGTCCGTGAAGGGCAAGACGGGCAACGAGGAGCGCTTCTTCAGGAAGAACGTGGACGAGACGCACCTCATGGCCAGGGTGACGGGGAACCTGGTCAAGTCCGTCCACGGCATCGCCAAGGTGGACTGGCTGAACATGCTGGGGCTGAAGGAGGTGGACTACTTCGGCAACAACAGCACGGCGACGGACGGCCAGTGGGAGCCGGTCTACCACACCAAGCACAAGTTCTTCGTCTACTCGGCCTACTACGACGACCGCAAGGGCAGGATCATCAGGGTCATCGGGGCCACGCAGACCAAGAAGAGCGACCGCGTCTGGTGCAAGTACTGGTACTCCAACTCCAGCACGCTCATCGTCAACGGCGCCATCAAGATCATCCGCGAGAACTGGAACCTGAAGTTCTCGGCGTGCTTCATCGCGTGCCCGCTCACCATCTACAAGAACGGGAAGCAGCCGATCCCGCCGCCCGAGAGCGTGTCGGTCATGGCCGACCCCGGCGGCAACGCCACCAACAAGCTGCGCGTCATGAACCTCGACGTCAACAAGGAGGCGGTGCGCGACAGCTTCGCCGTGTGCGTGAAGCCTCTGCACTTCGACTACAACAACGTGAATCAGATGATCGAGTTCATCGAGCTCAACAAGATCCTCGGCGTGGAGCACTTCACGCTGTACAACCACACCATCGGCAAGGAGGTGGACTGCATCCTCAAGTCGTACGCGGACCAGGGCGTCATCAACATCCTGCCTTGGAAACTCGACATGAAGTCTCAAAAGGAGATCCGGACGGAGGGGCTCTTCGCCGCCCTCAACGACTGCCTCTATCGCTACATGTACCAGTACAAGTACATTCTGATGATCGACCTGGACGAGTACATTGTGCCCCACACCAACACGAGTCTGCCGGAGCTGATGCGGTACCTGCACACCAAGGCCGACGCGAGAAAGATCGGCGCCATTAGCTTCCAGAACTCCTTCTTCTACCTGCAGTGGCCGGATGACCCGAAC